TACTATTATTTAAAATTAATTCTGTTAATATTTACAAAAATATAGTTGTTGAAACATCATTTAATTTATCTATTAATCAAATAATTAAAAAATTAAAAATTAATAGCTTATAAGATTCGCCTAAATAAGGCAATTCTAATGGTTATAATTTTATAAAATTTGAGACAATATTGGCTGAGATACATTAATTTGAAAACTTTGTAGCAATAGAAAAGACATTTTCTGTGACCATTATGAATCACGGCATTTAAAAATCAAATTAAATTAATTAATCATGTTATTTATGATAACAGATGTAAATTATCAATATAAAAAGAGTTGAGAAATATTAACAACTTTTTTTTTGTTTTCTTTTTTTTTTTTTTCTCTCTAGAATATTACTTTGACAATAAGTGACTCTGTTAACTATAACAATTTAAGACGTCCAAAAACAAGATCAACTATGAATAAAAGGGTAATTATATATCATTTGTAAATTGGCATGTTTATTTAAATTTATTTTTTATGTTTGCTAACTCGTAATTACACTTTAGACTTCAAAAAAAGGTGTTATGAAAAAATTCCTTATTTAGTTACTAAAATTAAATGGATGTACTAATTTTCTAAAAACCAAATATAGCATTGAAAGAAAGTCATTCAACTGATATTAATGAGGAATTAGTTGACAATTCATGATCAAAAAAGAAACAAAAATCCTGAAGATTGACTTATTTTTAAATAATGATGATACCTTCACTCAAGCGTCTAAAAGTTCATCATCTCAACCAACGACTTGAGCATCTAAAAGTTCATTATCTCAACTAATGACTTGAGTGCTTAAAAGTTCATTATCTCAACCAACGACTCAACCAATGGCAAGTTATATTTTCATTGTTATTGTTTATTTTTTATTATTTCAATATTTTTTCAGTATATTTATTATGTATTTCCATTAGGCAAAAGAAGCATTAATAATGTTCTTTCCCACGATAGTAATACATCCTTATTCTACATTCAAAACAATACCCAAAGTTGTGCAAGATTCCAAAGAATCTGTCAAAGGTCATACAGAATTTATATTAGTAGTTCAGTATTTATTTTACATTTACTTACTATTAAATTAATTCTAAATTGTTAGGCACTTTTATGTATGAATTAGCGAAGTTAGTTAAAATTGGTCAAAAAAATACGACAAAGCTTGACTATATAATAACTAGACAGAAAAATTTAGAAAAAATGATGAACGATCAGAGTGCTCAAATATCAGAAATATTGTCGATATTAAAGGATCATGAAAAGATACATCCCGAAATTGAGACAAAATGTAAAGAAAAAGAAAAATCAAAATCAAAAATACAGACGAGTTTTATCAAGTAAATATAAATTATTTGTATTATTTCTTTATATTATTTATATTGACTTATAATTACTCACATTATAGAATGCAGTCAAAAGTTAGCTCATGAATTATTTCATGAGCACAAATAAGTAGGTGAACAATAAATGAAAGATCATATTAAAGAAAAATTAGATGCCGATGAACTTTGTGTTAGTATACTTCAGAAATCTGAAGAAAAAGATTTAACATTTGATGATTTATGAAATAAAAAGATAAATTCCGCTGTAAGTAGTTAGTGTTAATTTAAATAATATTATATTAGTAGTTAACAAACATGTACTAATTTATTTGGTAAATTAATCAGTTCCTTGCTGCAATCTGTACAAAATGAGGGTATTATATTAGACGTATTAAAGATAGTTTGTAGTTAACATTTGGTATAGACTGAATTAAACCTTTCAAAGATAATTATATGAAATAACAGGTGAAAGAAAGAAAACAGAACAAAAATACTTAAAAAGTATACAAAGATCTATACAAGTCTAGTAATCCCAAAAATGAGAAAGCCAATACATATATAGCATTAATCATTAAATCCGTTTTACAGCTGAAAAAGAACGTACGGCTTTAAACAGTATTTGGGTTCAATTAGTCATTAAAACTATATTTAACGAAAAATATTTTCAACAAAATTTGATTCAGAAGTCATAGAAATGTAGACTGATGCATTCAATGATATGGAAATGGTAAGTAAATACTGACTAAATTTATATGGTAATATTTTAAAGTTAATTACTTAAAATATCTTTAAATTTAAGATAATGGATTCCTGACATATTCACCTTTATCTACGCCTAATTACAATATACTGTTGATAACCTTGTAGATGATGATTAATTCATATAATGACATTGTAGTTTAAGACAAAATTTAAATAACTATAGTTTATATACTATAAATTATAAATAAATTTTAATTAAAACCAAGCATGTTTTTCAACTAATTAATTAGTAATATTATATGTATTATTCAACTAGTTATATGTGATTTTCAATACTGTTATTTTACTGTATATATTATTTTACACTTAAATTGTGTTGATTTATGCATTTTATAATGGCATTAGTTGACAAAGGGTTTGTTGGTCAATATTTTTTAGCGTTGAACAACACATGGTATTTGTTGACATATTAAATTCCTATCCAAAACTTCCTAATGAACAAATGACTTCACTTGGAGAAGAATATCTTCATCCCAAAGAAAACTCCATATCTTAGCATGATATTCTCGACGGGAGTAGGGAATTTTGTGATTCTTTATATATTCACATGCTCAAGAATGAATGCATTTAACATAGTATGTTCCTTTTTCTGCTGCATTAGCAACAATCTCGCTCACTTGCATTTTTGGATGGTTACTTTTCACAAGTTGAAAATAAAGACGAATGTTATTTAAATGCATCTAAACCTCACTATTTGTTTTTTCTTTTTTAATATCTAACATTAGACTTTCAAGAGCATCTGGGATTTTATTATACTAATTATAATCTTTAACCTCATTATCCAACTGTTTATTAGCATTATCATCTAATACTAATTATTCATCAGCATTATTATCTACATCTATATTAGTTTCATCATCTAATTCTTCAATTTCTTTAGTAGATTTCTTAACATTCCAAAAGGTATGTAACTTAAAGGTCCCTTTTGCTACTTCACACTGTTACTGATTCTTTCTTCTTTTAGTGCAGCTTGAGTTTCCTATATAATGTAATCTATATATTTCTTGAGAAGCATATTCCTGATGATACTTTTTTACCGCTTCTTATAGTTTTTTTACAATGCTTATGGTATTATCATTTTTTATTAGCTCATCATGAATGAAAAAATTATTATCATAAAAAGAAATATTGTCATTGTCAGGATCTTCAATATTATTATAGCCTTTCAGCTCATCATAGAAAGAAATATCATTAACATCAGGATAACTTTCAAAATCAGATATGTTATCAATATCAATGTTACTTCTAGTATATTGACGCTTAGCTTTTTTTGCTTTACAAATTTTTTTTAGATGTTTTTGACGTTTTATTAGACGTGGCATATTAAAATATTACTATATAGGTAAGTCAACTTTTTTATTATTTAATTAATATTGATTTTTACAAGGAAAAAAAAATTCTTCTAATTACAAAATGCACAAAGTAAAAAAATTATAGTTGCGTCAAAAAAGCAAAATTAAGTTATGCGTATATTTACCAATCGGTTAATATATTTAATACTGTGAAATTCGTTCGAATCCTGAAAGCTAAAATCTTGAAACCTCTTTATCGCATCCTATATACAGTTATATTTATCATACACCTTTCGTAATGTAAGCTAATATTAATATGACAAATAATTTTAATTTTAGGATTTTATATAAACACAATACTACAACAACCCAATTAATACCAAACTATTTTAAAATATACCGATTATAGATGAGGGACGAAACCCCTTAATAACAGTCGAAACTTAGATGAAACTATATTAAAATCATAATAAGGGATA